TAGACTTGAAGGCACACCACTCACCTACCCACACATACACACACATATATATACATACACACACACATATATTCCCCCTCTTCAAATGTGTGTGTGTGTGTTGTTGTTGCATGTCTTAACGTCGTTTCCGACTTTTGGAGATCCTTGGGCAAACCTATCATGGGCCTTGGCAAGATTTGTTCAGAGGAGGTTTGCAGTTGTCTTCCTCTGAGGCTGAGAGAGTGTCACTTATCCAAGGTCATCTCTTGGGTTTCATGGCTGAGCTGGGAACCGAACCCTGGTTTCCAGAGTTATAGTCCAACAGTCAAACCACTATGCCACAATATGTCTGTGTGTATTTGAAGGGGGGAATACATACATACTCTATCATAGTGTATTTGTATGTGTGTGTGTATATTCCACCCTTCTCTGCCACAAATTGTTAATTAGATAGTTCCCTGCTCTCAGGTTTACAATCTGTGCCAGGGGTTCAGCCTAAATTGCTGTTCTTATGGAGACCTTATCATGGAGTTTTCTTGGCAAATTTCTTCAGCAGGTGCTTGTCATTGCCTTCCTCTGAGGCTGAGAGAGAGTGACCTGGGCAAGGTCCCTCAGTAGGTTTCCACAGCTGAATGGGGATTCGAGCCCTGATCTTGAAAGCCACAGTCCAGCACTCAAACCACTACACCATGTTGTTGTGCTGTCAAGTCTTTCCTGACTTATGGCAACCCTAAGGCAAACCTCTCATGGGGTTTTCTTTGCGAGCTTCTTCAGAGGGGGTGTTGCTGTACCCTCCTTCCCCTGAGGCTGAGAGAGTGTGACTTGCCCAAGGTCATCCAGTGGGTTTCCATGGCTGAACGGAGATTTAAACCCTAGTCTCCAGAGGCATAGTGCAGTACTCAAACCACTACACTGGCTCTAAATACGTAATAAGTAATGAGAGGATTTGAAGAGAGAGGCATTCTTGACTGGGAAGCCTGTGCCACGTTTCGAAGGCTTTGTTGTGCCCTGAAATGGAGACAATAACTAGCTGCCCTTGCCTCAAGTGAAACCTTACCTGTGGAGTTAATATGGCCAGATAGGCATATGGGGTTTTTATGGGGAATTGGTCATCAGGACTTAAAAAAACCCAAATGTCAGCTCTGTGACTTTTTTAACCAGTGAAGAACAGTTTCCTTCCTGTTTAGGGCCAAGCCTGACAGGGGAGTGAAACACACAGGCAAAGTAAAATGACATCTAGCCACTTTTATGGCAGGGATGTTTAGACAACGCACGAGGCAAAAACTGTTGGAAAGCGAAACGAAGCTGTGCTTCAGGGCTAAAAACTGGAGCAAAAAGAAGCTGGGATATTCTGACTCAAGGCATAAAATGCATATCTTTGCACCAGCATATAAACAGCCTAGCATGAGTGCAGGATTGTGGCAAAGCAAAAACGTGATTGCCTGTAATGCAATGGATGTAATTACAACATACACAAACCAGACAGTCCAATGGGGGCATGGGGAGATGGGGGGTGAAGAGCACCATGATTGTGCTTTCCCACTGGGCTCACCGATGCATTGTACAGGTGGTGCATCACATGTGCGACTGGCTGATCATATGTGTGGGTGTCTAATGCAGTGGTTCCCAAACTTTGGTCTCCTAGGCGTTTTGGACTTCAGCTCCCAGAAGCCCCAATCAGCTTGGCCACCTGACAAGAACTCTGGGAGCTGAAGTCCAAAACATCAGGAGGACCAAAGTTTGGGAATCGCTGGTCTAATGGAATGGGATCTGAGTGGAAAAGGGAAGTAATTGGAGGTTGCAGGTGGTACGTTTGTGCAATGATGTGCATACATGGTGGGTAGGCCCAGTAAAATGATAATAATTGCAGAGCCCATGGGTGTTTGGCCTGCCTTTGGTGAAGGCTATGTGGACAATGGGGTTTCTACCTTATTTCAGATAATGCAGGATGGAGCTGCTTTTTCCTACCTGTCTGCTCTGGCCTATGGTGCAGGAGATCTGCCATCAAGTCTCTCTCAAATGTTTTCTTAGGGGGCATCTATACTGTAGAAATAATGCAGTTTGGCGGCACTTTAAGTGTTATAGTTTGGGAGAGAGCCTTCTCCATTTCTGCTCCTAGCCTGTGGAACTCCTTTCTATGGGAGTTTTGGTT